CCATCATATGATGCAGTGTCAGTGCTTGAAAACTGAGGCTCTACAGCTTCCATTTGTATAAACTCTGCTATACTTAATATTAAAAGGTTCTCAAAGTTCTCGTCATCTTTCTGCAAGTCTTTGTACCCATATCTTACTATGCAACGATACATGCGATATGGTCTGGGGCCAATGCGGCCAATGAGGAAGCGTTCCTCAGGCGAGACATAGGGCACTGGAACAGATTTTACACAAACAAACACCAAAACATTATGAAAAGCAGGAAGATTTGTGATGAAATGAGAGAAGATAGCGGGTACTCCTGTTGCGAGCTCCGAGTATACAAGGCCTATCCCAGGCACACGGACAATGCCAAGGCTCGGGCCGAGGCCAAGGATCCATTTCATTGGCACTTTGTTGTATAGATCAAAGTTGTACTTCTTGCGAGTTCCATAGTGCCAAATAAACATGATGAACATGAAGAAGAGAGACAGTACAAGGGACACCCATCCTCCCTGAGGAACTTTTGTATATGCAGCTAATAGGTAAGCGCCTTCGATGAACCAAAAGAAAAGGAGGAATGCAGCAGCGAGTACAGTACTTCTTTGCCACACACAGACTATGACGAGTGCCATGAGGAAAGTCGTGATAAACATAACCGACATGCAAGCTAGACCTGGAAAAAGAAGCTTGAGTGTAAGAAAATGATGGATAAAAAATAAATAGATTTTAGAAGTGTGTTCAAAACAGATGATCAAAATTGAAGAAACGCAGAGTTAAAAGGGGGGAAATGGTATTTGTAAAGGAAATATGCTATATTCAGCACTACTAGTCCGATTGGTCCTTTTACAGTAGAAGTACGCACTATCATAAGAAATGTGATTTATCTTATATAGTTTGAAGAAAAAAAAGATGCAACTGTTTCTGTCCTTGTAATCATAACCTGCTAATAAGACCGTGGTTCCTTCTGTTGTGCTAGCATACGTGCGTATCTCATTTTATTTACCTGTCACCCTTTCCTGTAAATCTTAATCGAAGACAAATACTTTTCTCAATTTTTCTCTTTTATGCAATTATTTTTCTTGCGTAAACAGTACACAGAAAACAAAAATTATCTTATCCAAGTTAATCACCCCCTACGGCAAGAAGGGATCATTTTATGTACATAATTATCAATCACAAGTATGCATGATTTGAGCAAGCGGAATTTCCAGGAAAGACTACAGGAGAAATATGAATTTTTTTCCCTCAACCTTCATTGGGAGAGAAGAGGGAGCGAGGGGCAGCAACACGGAGCTTGAAATTTTAATCTTCCCTTGTGATGCGTTAGAAATTCAAAAGGAGAGAAATTAGCATCAGTCAATGAAAATGGCACTAAAAAGTGAGTAAATCTAGATTCATAGAGTTTGTAAAGGAAATATATGAATCCACATATCAGGAGCCTTGATTATAGAACTTTAAGTTAAGAGCAGAAAATATGAGAGGTTGATTTATCAGAAAGGGCAATAAATAAATAAATAAAAAGGTATTCTGCATGTCAGTAAGCATAATTAATCCGTATTACAGTTACTGCAACATTACTTTATATTTTTTGAGACTCTCTCAATAGCATCACTGCTCACAATAGATACTATTGATATATCCAACAATGCTTTAAGTGACGTCACATGGTATTTCCGGTAAATTTTATATTATGGTTGTAAATACACAATGCACATGAGGCATTTACCTTATGAATGATTAGAATAAAAAAATGACTTATTATGATAAAAAATGAAAGAATAATTCTACTGAAAATTTTGTGACTTACCATATGCATTTCCAATTGTAGTTATGTCATGAAACCCAATAGCTATAGCAAGAGTAAGAATCATGAGGATCCAATTAATCTCTGGTATGTAGATCTGTCCATGTATATGTTTTGAGGTGTGAACAACCTTTACACGCGGGAAGCAACTGAGAGCATTACATTGCTTAACAATAGAGAATGTGGCCGAAATGATGGCCTGACTCGCAACAATAGCTGCGAGGGTGGCTAGAATGAAGACAGGCCAAAATACACTATCTGCAAGGAATCCAATATTATGAGGCTTAGAAAAAGAAAAGCATGATATCAATCTCAACATAGCAGGAAAAAAAACTAACCAGGAACCGAAGCATAGAAACTATTTGGAATTGAAGAAATATTTTTTGATAGAAAAGCAGCCTGGCCCATATATTGCATTACCAAGCAAGGGTATACAATGAATGCAAATGCAATCTGCAATAACAGAAAACATTCAGATTAAAAGGGAGCTAATGGTAAATTTGTAATTATATGTTACTAGATAAACCACAGACAAGATAAGAATGGATTGTTATCTAACACTAACAGTTGCTCTATCCACCCACAGACAAAGTAAAGTCATGCGATTCACAACTCTACAAGATCTAGCGGGATAAAAAATATATATTCTAGGTCTCTAAGCTCATCAATCTAAGTATTACATTCTTACTATCCTAGCATAAAGGAACAAATATTGCATTCTTATTATGCACATTCACACCTGAATGTTTGCTACAGCTACAAAGATGAGGATTTACCCTTATAGACAGTGCATTGAAATGGCCCAAATCTGCAAACATTGCCTCTGTGCCTGATACCCACAAAATACAGGGATTAGTTTCAAAACTCAAGCAATTTCTCAGTCATTAAGTTTATGCCTCCGTTTGGCCCCCCTTTCTTTCAATTTTTAATATATGGAATCGTGTTTTTTTTTTTTTTTTTTTTTTTTTTTTTTTTTTTTTTTTT